AGGAAGGGGGAAACTAAAGACCTTTTGAAATACTACTGCTCTTTGATTGTATTATAAGTGAAATAATATTTGTGCTTTCTTTCTTGTCATTAATGTAGGTTTTTTGGGGGTTGGGTTTTTTTTTTTTTTTTGGTGGGAAGGGTTGTGGAGGATCCTTCCTTACCAATGATATAGCATTGTCCCAATATTGGGTTGTGCAGATATTGATGGAGCTACCGTGTTTCCCTGAAAATGAGACCCTGTCTTTTTTTTTTTTTTTGAACCCTGAAATAAGCGCTTGGCCTTATTTTCGGGAAGGTCTTATTATTTTGGGGCGCATGGAGCAAGATGGGGCTCCTCTTGCCATCTTACCTGATTTCCAGCTCTGTGTTTAAATATTTTTGGGGAGGGCTTATTTTCAGGAGGATGCTTATTTTAGCGCATGTGCTCAAAAGCCCGATTGGGTTTATTATCAGGGGATGTCTTATTTTCGGGGAAACAGGGTACTACAGATGTGGGCTATGCGCTCTCAGTAAAATGGCAATCCTTCCCAGCCATTCCAACTTTTCCTTCCTCAGGCAGTTCAAACCCAAAGGTACTGTTCAAAAGGCAACTGGACTTCCTTGGAAATGTTTGGCTTCTCATCTTGAGAAACCAAGGAAGTTAGAACAACACCTTTGGGACAACCTTCGCCTGGATGATTGAAAATCTCCATAGACATATACTGTATTAAATGACTTACCAGAAAATAGTAAACTAAAAACTTCATTTTTAGAACCAGAGGCTAAATCTGGAAACTACTTTAGATATACCACATGTTACATGCCCCCCAGAATATTCTGTACTCTTGATGTGACACAGGCATTTGCCATGGTTCACTGGTATTTTATAATGGACTTTTCATAGCAAAGACTGGCATAATCCTTACTGACCCACTTTTCTCTGAGCTACATTCAAACTGTTGGTTGAGTTCTGCTTTTCAACTAAGGATTATTATATAGTTTAGAAAGACTAGTAGCTGGTGATTAAAACAGTAGGTGAGAATCTTCCAATTCCCATTATATTCTCTTCTCAAGCTGCGGAGGAGGTGATGTCTTCTAAACTCAGCAGCCTAATAAGTATTGCTGATGACTGTCCAATCTAAAAATTTGTTTAGGAAAATAAATGAACATGATTTGTGAGCAATAAGGTTTTCCCAGTGTTAAAACATGTCCTTTCTACATTAGATGAGTTATCCCTCCAGTCCAGGTTCTAGAACTGTCTTCCTGTATTTTCTGCAATCTGACACCCACATAGTAGCTTGATTTTTCTTTCTTTCTTTTTTTTCTTTTATATTTGATAATATGTGCTGGGTTTTCCCAACAAATTAGAATTTATGCCAATTTAATGGAAAAATAGACACATATAACAAAAAATGGGAATTTTTCTTAACTTTTCATCAAACTTTTATTTTCCATTTTTCACTCTATAGTGGCTTTTGTGAAGTTTTCAGAAGTTCAACAAACTAACTGACCACATCTATGATCAAAGAACAGAACTATGGTTGACAGAGATACCTCTCTCTCTCTCTCTCTGCAGCCATGTTTCTGTTTTTAGGACTTACCAAGGCACTGTGCAAAATTTTCAGTCTTATAGTTCTCATCAGAAAAAAATAATACAGATGTCATTATCCAGGCAACTCTGTTGAGGATTTTTTTTTAAAAAAATTGACTAGCTCTTACAGATGCATATCAATCACTTTCAGTGACCTTGCTGGGCATTTTTCATCTTTTTTTTTTTTGTGTCCATTTGCTGTTTGACACAGGAGCCAGTGGTGTAACTGCTCATTTAATACCAGACAGTGTAATACCCTTGCAGCTTGGCATGCCTGTCAGGTTGATTTCATTAGCACGATAAGATGCATAGACTCCTTTTTATCTCCTCTGTTCTCCTTCTCTCTGTCTTTCTCTGTAATTTGGGTCTTTAAAGTCTTTGCTGTCTCCTGATCTGCAGATAATTGTTTACTGTAATACTAACCAGGAAAAGAGCTGATAAACTCCAGATGTAGCCAGGTCGTCAAATTCACTTTCTTTGCTCTATGCCCATGGCTATGGACCTCAGATAACATTTTGCCACTGTCTGCAGTTCTCTAAAACTGTGAAGAAAACTGCCCTCGTTAAGATGGACAGTGATTAAACGTTCGCCATGCTTTTGAGTAAAAGGATCTTTTCTTTCATGCTGCAAACAGCATAACATGCACACACACACTGTCTATTTGTTAGAATACTCCCTCCCCCTCTCCTGCCTCACTTAATTCTCTGTCATTTTCACATGCTCTATTCCATGTACTAATCTCATTTTGCACTGATAGGAACCAGCATGCAATAAGGTAGCCCTTTGAGATCAAAGGGATGGATGTCCCTCCCCCAGTCAAGAGGAGTCTCTTGGATTTTTAAAAATCAGTGGATTTTCTTACAAAATGTAATTGATGAGGAACAAGTTATTCCAAGAAGGGGCCCAAATAGAATTATTTTTTTTATTTAAAAAAAAATCTTCGAAAGCAACTCCTGGTAAGTTTCCTCTTCCATCTTCTTTACTGTTTTGGGGTTTGTTACATGTTTCATACAATATGGATTCTGTATGGATAAGACCAGTGGTGGGTTGCCCCCGGTGTGCACCGGTTCTATAGAACCGGTAGTAAAACCAGCGGGAGGCTCCGCCCACCAACCCCGACATCATCAGAACACTTCTGCGCATGCGCAGAAGAGCGTGTGTGCAGCCCCGTTGTGAACCAGTAGTAAAAATCAGTAGAACCCATCCCTGGATAAGACCACATTAGCTTAGTGGTTAAAATATTAGTCTGGGATTCAGATTGTCACTTAATTACAGATTTCTCTGGATGATTTCAGGCAAATTGGCTTTCTCTTAACCCTACCTACCTCACAAGTTGTTATATGGATAAAATGACGGGAAAGCTCCATATAATCTGTGACATGAATATGGAGCTTTCCCTTCATTTTATCCATATAACAATTTGTGAGGTAGGTAGGGTTAAGAGAAGGCCAACTTATTATTATGTTATATTTGCTCTTTAAGTCAGTTATAATTTCATAAACCCAGGGATATTGCTAAAGGATCCACCAATCTCTTTCCTGGTTTGGAAATTATGGTGTTTCTTTTGTTTTATTTTATATATAGGTGGAACATGGAAAAAGGTAGAATAACACAATCAGTTTGTTATTATTTAAATGAGGAAATGGTTTAACTCTTATTAAATGACTTAATAGTTGTTATTTTCAAATTGATATTGCAACTACATATAGGCTATTCATCCTTTCCTTCCTTGGTATTGAGTATATATTCATTAACCAGTTTCCTTGGCAGATGGGGGTTTCCTACGCTACCCTCAGCCCCATAGCTTCCATTCACACCTTCTAAATCCTCTCCCCCTTCTAGAATATAAACTGAAATCTGCATTATTAAACTTTGATTGGCTGTCCTAATACCAAATCATCACAAATTGCCAAAAACAGCCAAAGAGGAAACAAGTTAAAAAGTGGTGATGGTGGCATAGAAGGTAGAGGAAATGGTTTTGAAGGACAGATGGAAGATCCAATACAAAGACAAGGTCAGATAAAAGGGGTCTGAGCCTAGGCCAAGAAAGTAGTATGAGTAAACATCTAAAACAAGCCCCTCCCCCTGCAGTTTTCCATAAGAGTAAAAGGGAAAAATATATCATTGAGTTGTATTAGATGTTTACTCATGCTACTTTCTTGGTCCAGGCTCAGGCATACAGATAAAGTGTGTGTGTGTGTGTGGGGGGGTTAAAGTGTGGTAGGCAGTGCATTCAGACTTTTAAGATTCTGTGCTATAATTTTGCAGGTAGTCTTTGCTTAATGACCATTCAAAGTTACAATGAGCTCCAAACAACCCAGATTTGAAGTTCTGACATTTTCTTCCAGTCACATGATTGCATTTTTGGCCCTCAGTGACTGACCAATATTTATGGTTGATTGCAGCACCCTGGGGGGGGGGGGGTCACATGACTATGATTTACAATTTATTTTTTATTTTTTGCTGGAAACCAGTGTTTACTTCCGATATTTAGCAAAATGGGTTCACTTCATGACTGCTGTGTTTGCTTTACAACTACCATGTTTGCTTAGTGCCATAATACACACACACACACACACATATATTATAATAATAATAAAATTGGATCAGTCACATGATGGCCCACTCGATGACTAGCACGACTAACAACCATAATCTCAGACTCAGTTATGGTCATAAATTTATGACTATCAGTACAGCAACAGTAGTATGGATCTACGTGGCATTGGTTTTCTAGCATGGTCTACCTTGAAGGGCTGACAGGTTGTTATGGTTATAATGTCAGGTTTAGACACCTTTTATTTTCTATGCATTTATTGTGGCATTGTGCATCCAGAATAACTTGGAGATATTAGTTATACAAAGCAATTGCCTCGTATGATGTAGAATGTTGATTGAGTTATGGTTTATAATTGTTCTATACAATTCTAACCAGCCACATTCTATTAGTGATCCTTATTTTCCTGTAAGTAATTATACAGAAGACAATTAAGCACCTACACCATATTGTAGTGACTTATGTCACCACATAAGTACATAAGATTTATCTAGTGACTAAAGTAACTGCACTACATAACACTTATGCAGTGACTAAAAAAAAACATTTTTTTTTTTTTTGCAAAGAAGGCTAAAAGAAATAAATTAGCATATATTAGTCTTACAATAGCAGAATATATCCATGAAGGCTAATTTCTCTTTCTTTCTCTTCCTTGCTTTTGCACATTATGTTTAATTAAATTTCTTTCACCCAGTAACATCTAGAATCACCAATGTCTATTGAGGTAGGAGAAGGAATTTATTTATACAGTGTTCTTCTATGAGTGAAACAGACCATTGGAGGATGGTGTTCCTGCTCCCCCTGCAGTCTTCCATAAGAGTAAAAGGGAAAAAATATATCACTGAGTTGTATTCGATTCCTGATGACCACAGGGACACATCTATGTAATTTTCTTAGGCAACATTATGGAAACAGTAAGTCATTGTTTTCTTCTAGAATGTTTTCTCAATTTCCTGATCTAGTCTGCAGACCTGGTGGTCTCCATCCAAATGCTAATCCAGGCTGATCCTGTTTAGTTTCTTGAGATCAGACAAGGCCTGTAAACTTCCCACATCTACTCTGGAAGAATAGGTAATTCTTTGGAGTAAGTTGGGATATCTGCAGGACTACTGGGGGAAGCAGAGAAAGAAAGGGGAAAACAAATTGTGTGAGAAGAAATTAAATTATATGTTTCATTTATTCCTTAAATCCACATTTTTTGCAAATAAAGTCAAGTTTGTAGAGGGTTTCTCCCATTTATTCATTTCCACTGTAATTAAATGTGAAGATTATGTTGAAAGAGATAATTCTGTACATGTCAATTCTCTCTCCTTCCTCTTAGATAGCAAAAGATAGAGCAACAATAACAATATAAGAAAAGTGTTAACAGAAGTAGTTGTACAAACTTTTTTTCCCATCTTAAGAACTTTGAAAATAATTTATAACTTAAATCTTCCCCTGTTGCACTGGTCAGCATTAAGTTGAATGGGAATGTGACTGGTATATTTGGTTGTTTGCTTGAAAGTGCCATGGCACAACATGATGGCATCATCAAACCAAGCACATAGTCCCACTTATATTTTCATGTGCCAGCTTTCATGTTGGTAGTTCCAACATAAGTATAGATGAAGCCATTAAATACATTAACTGGTAAATGCAATTTTTTTTGCACATAGTAATGTTGAAAGTTTATTTTGTCAACACTTTTGGCTCACTTTGCTTTTAAAGTAGTTATACCTTATTTGGGTTTATAGTTAGGTCATGTTCTGGGTTTATAGTTAGGTCGTGTTCTTGTTTACTAGATATTTCTTGAGTATTTTTAATTGTACTGTAATAAACATTGACTGACTGACTGAATTGAGTTTATAGCAAGACTGGTAGATTTGTGGCCATCCAGTTATTAGAATACATACCTCTACAAACATTTTCTAGCACTGAATGTGTTAGTTAGCACTTCTGGGAGTAGTGTCTGTGTGTATGTGTGTGTGTGTGTGTGTGTGTGTGTGTGTGTGTGTGTGTGTACAAAAAAAAAGCAAACTTAAATAAGATAAAAATTAACACAAGCTAATATAAAGAAGAAAACAGAAAAAGACCAAAGCAAAAGCAAAAAATGCAAGAAAAGGATCAGTGAAGAAAAATATAAAAGAAAGGGAAAAAAAGATAAGGTGGGTTCTGATATTCTTCACAGCAGTTATAAGTATGAATATGTTTTGATATCTCTCTCTAAAGTTACATATTACTCTTCTTTATATAATCCACATTGTCTAATCATCAAAACCATAAATTACAAGCTTTTTCATTTTTATGCAAAAAATTCATAAAAGTTTCCCAGTCACCAATAAATGTAGATTACGACTTTTCTCTAATTAAAGAAGTAGGGAGTTGCAGTTTTACAACATATGGAGATTCACAGATGTAGCTAAGGTTCATTGCTTTATGCTATTTCTTCATCAGAGACTAATTATAAATTCAAGCATTTGCTGAGACATACATTGAGGTAGATAAGGTATTCAAAGAAAAATAAAAATAATTAAGTGCTTGAGAGATACTGAGAATTTTATTGTCCACGGGTGACCACATATGGGTTAATTGTGAATAGATGAAATTAACATTTTAAATTTCTCATAGGCTTGAATGTAAACCAATCTAATTTATCCAATCTATCTTTGTCCAGCCTAAACCCAGATAACAATCCAGTAATGTTGCTTATTTCTTAGTATCATTATTTTAAACTTGCAAAAATATTAATCCTTCTGTAGAGACTCAGCTAAATGATAATTATCTAATAAAACAAAATATGAAAAACAAAATATCCTAGGATATTCCTGAAGGCTTCTAGGATCCTCTATTCCTTAGAATTTACAGCTTTTTCTAAAAGGCAACAATAGGAATTTCAACAGAAGAATATTAAATTTACACTGAATGTTATACCTAGAGAATATTGGTGTAAGATATTCTATAATTGATACATTAGCCCAGTTTTAATTACTAAAATATTAAAATAAATATTAGAAAATGTTATTTTCTAAAAATTGATGGAAATGTAATAATCTGGGTGGATATTTTTTCATAAATGGTAGCAATGCTATAAAGCTCAATAATTTTGAAAAAATATTAATATTAGAATAAAATAAATCTTAAAAGTTGAATTCCCACTTCAACCTGTGATATTTTTTTTACTAATCTTTATGAAACCAGATGTTCCCATAAACTGCATTGAATTAATTTTGTACATGCTAACCACTGCAATGATCCTGTATACCTTTTATTGGAAAGAATGTTTGATCACTTTTATGGAAAAACAGTTAACTACATTGTGGGAATATGACTCAATGTCTAGATTAATTTTGTATTTCAGGAGTAATTCCAACATAGAGTTTAATTCAGTTTAGAAAATATTTTCCTAGATTACCGTTTAATACATGGATCTGTGCCACATCCAGAATTAGGGTTTCTGCAAGTAGAAAGTGCATATTTTAATTTTATAGGACTTTTAAATTAGATTTAGACTTTTACTAGTATGGATAGAATTTATTGCAGGTAATAATTGAATTTTATGACTTATAGTGTGTTATAGTTTCTGATATCTACACTTTGCTTAGAGTTAATATTGATTTTCAAGCTTTTAAAATGATATATCCAGTTATTCAGATTCAATTAATGATATATTCGTAAATTATAATGACTGTAACATACACCTAAGCACCTATCTAAACACCTCTTAATGGACTGTTCAAGATTTAACCCCCTTAACGCTTGAGCAGTCCATTAAAAATCGTGAAACGAACAGGTAATTTAAAAAGGAGAGTTTCTAGCTATTTCCATTAGGAAAGCTCATATGTGATGGTAACACTTTACTAAAGGAAGTAATAGACAAGTTGACTTCCTTCATTAACAAATAGTTTGTCCTATACCAGTCCAGCACTATATACCTAGAGACAAGTCTATTCTTAAGAGGTTTTATTGCATTTTCAAATTTTTTTTGCACAGGCAAAGTACAAGCAGTGCAAATCTTCAAAAGGGGTGATATTAACCTGAAGGCCTAAAGGTTTGGTCCCTGACCACCTGTTAAAGAGACAACTTTATTTTTTCCTTATACTGTAGTTCTGCATCTGTTTCTCTGCAATACAGTTTGAAATAGGGTGAATACACACAATGGAGCCAAACATTTCCATTGCTGAGCAAGGCAGTTGTTAAGTGAGTTGTGCCCTATTTTATGACCTTTTTTGTCTTTTTTTTTTTTGTGTTAAGCACATCACTGCAATTGTTAAGTGAATCTGGCTTCCTCTAAATTGACTTTGCTTATCAGAAGCTGGCTGGGAAGGTTACAAATGGTCATCACATGACCCCCCCCAGGATAGTGCAACTGTCATGAGTATATGCTAGGTGCCAAGTACCCAAATTTTGATCATGTGACTGTGGAGATGCTGCAATGGTTGTAAGTGTGAAAACTGGTCATAAATCACTTATTTCAGTGCTGTTGTAACTTCGAATGGTCCTCAGCTCGAATGGTTGAGTTCAGTTACAAATACTGAAACCCAGCCAGGTCCCTTGTTCCCGAGGGCCCCATGGTAGCCTTCTCCCTGTTTGCCTTACGTCTACATCATTGCGTATTAGAGAACTGCAAATATAATGGCAGTATGTATAAATAGATGAAGCCTGCCCGAAGCTCTTTGGTTCTGACAGTGCTGTTAGATGGAGTTGGATGTCCTTTTGTGGAGGTTGGATGACTTTTGGATGTCTGAGTGTGTTCATGTAGGGGTGTGTGTGTGTGTGTGTGTGTGTGTGTGTGTGAGAGAGAGAGAGAGAGAGAGAGAGAGAGAGATGTATATAATATAATGGACCCTAAGTCAGAAAATCAAACTGGCCATGTGTGTTAAGCAAGTGCATCTTCCCATCTTCCCATCCTCCTTCCCTAATTTGTGAGATTGATAATGATAAGAATTTAGCAGGTTTGTTGTAAAATAGAGGTAGGGTTAATAGCAGGACTGGTATTCATTTACCTTCGCTACCGGTTTGCATATGTGAGCATGCACACGAGCCTTCTGCACATGCGCAGAACATCAAAAACGGGACATGATGATGTCCGGGGTGGGTGGGCGGAGCCTCCCACAGCTACTGCTGCTGGTTTGCCCGAACTGGATAGAACCGGCTGAATACCACCACTGGTTAATAGTGACTTACCTTGTTTTAAGGTAGGAATGGCAACTCACGTATGGCTCTCAGACAAATTTCAAAAGGCCTTTATCCGGCAGATTTTTCTTAATAAAAGAAAAAAGAGAGAGAGAGAAATAGTAGCTTTGATTTCACCTACAATCAGCATCCAGAGAACCCTGTACATCTTATTCATTTAGTGTATTAATTTGGTGTATGCAGCTAGCCTTCAGCTGACATTAAGTTGCCTACCCCTCAAATAAATTTCCAAATGTCAGCAGATGGCTTCAAATACGTGGAAGTGCTGTACAAATGTTGTTGTTGTTTCTGTTGAAGCTCTGAGCCCATCCCTGGCTTAGATCGTATGTCTCAATTTACAAATGCAACCCACGCCATGTAAATTTCACTTTGCTCCTTGGCCGACTTTATAAGTAATAACAGCAAGTACTCACAAAGTATAAATTAGCCAAGGACAATAACGTGTCAGATTGCCTCTAAGGCAGAAACAAATGAATAGTTTGGCTTATTAATCACATGCCACCTTAACCTTTGATGTCTTGATGTTCCAGTTTTGGTGCTCCATTAAGCAACCTTGAGTGACTGCTGCTGCAACCTCCACAAAACCAGAAATTGGGTTGGCAGCACATTTTCAAGACTTCAAAGGCAGTAATTTACCCTGAGATTGTTTCATTAAAGCACCCTTCCCAGTGTGAACAGCAATAACAGAAGAATCAAGATCAAAGAGCTTCCATCTTTTGAGATTTGTTACATAGAAAATTACATGCTGAGGGTGTCTTTTTCACAAATCATCTTGCCTCCCATTCCATGAAGAATGGTTTCAATTAGACCAGAAGCCTCCTTGACAGCTTAGAGGGTTATGATTGTCATTAACGTGGGAGTGGAGACTGTTCTTCTCCCTCTCGCCTTTCCCCCACCCATCTGTAAAGCTATTCAAGTCTCTGATGTGCCTCTAGAGTCTAATTAGAAACAATTACACTGATAAACTAATTACAGGCAGTAGTATTTCAGATTCTGAGAAGATTTTTTTTTTAAAGCCGGCTTATTATTTTATAGAGTTATTTGGATTCTTTGTCCATGTTCCCCTTGGCAGTCTGACTTCTCAGATCTTTATTCCACAGCTTCCTCCTGATGTGGAACTGCCACAAGAGAAACTTCAGCAAAGTTGTGTGGAGACAGACTAGGTGGCGCACACGTGAAAGGGCTTCTGGCAAAACCCTTGACTGATTGCCCGCTTGTTGGGATGCAGCTAACAAAAGAAGGGAGCACACAGTTGGATTTTGTAAAGATTTATTATTGCATTATCAGGCTCTGAGCTGCAGACAGATTGTGATTTCCCTGCCCAGCTAAATCAGTGATTAGCAATGTGCAAATAGCAGAATCTATATTAATAAAGCAATGATGTAAATCATCACCTAAGCACACTACAGTGGAATGTCTATAATCTTCTGGGAAGATTATATGGTTATATAAAGCAGTAGTATTATACAAAGCCCTGCCACTCCATCTTGAGGTGTTGCTACAATCCAGACTCTCCCAGTGTTGTGATTGGAAGCAACACAACCATTTGTAAAGTTATGTCATAGATAGAATAATAGAGTTGGAAGGGACCTTGGAGGTCTTCTAGTTCAAGCAGGCGACCCCATACCATTTAAGATAAATGATTGTCGAGTCTCTTTGAAAGCCTCTAGTGATGGCTCATCCACAACTTCTGAAGGCAGGTTGTTCCATTGGTTGATTGCTCTCACTGCTAGGAAAGTTCTAGGTTGCTTCTCTCCTTGGTTAGTTTCCATTCATTGTTTCTCATCTTGTCTTTTGGTGCTTTGGAAAATAGGCTGACCTCCTGGTCTTTGTAGGAGCCCCTCAAATAGTGGAACACTGCTATCATGTCTCCCCTAGTCCATCTTTTCACTAGACTAGACATAGCCAATTTCTGTAACTGTTCTTTGTATGTTTAAGCTTCCAGTCCCCTAATCATCTTTGTTGCTCTTCTCTGCACTATTTCTAGAGTCTCATCATCTGTATTCCAAGTGTGGTCTTATGAAGACTTTGTAAAGTGGTATTAGAACTTCAGATGATCTTGATCCTATCCTATCCTATCCTATCCTATCCTATCCTATCCTATCCTATCCTATCCTATCCATCTTTTTCTCTTCTTTGGGATGCTCCACTTCAATGCCTTGAACTGAAGTTTCAAAATAGTTCAATAATTTGATGGCAATTTTGCTTCATGGAAAAAGACGTCTCTGCAAACATCCCTCTTATCAAATGGCAGAACTGCTCCAGCCAGATTTTCCAAAGAGAAGTCTTGCTTTATTTGCTTCTTAGATTTACATCCCATGTGAAGACAGAAGCTTATGTTTGTCTTATGCGAGATCTCCCTTTTTTTTTATTCCCATAAACTTCCTATGCAGTTGATTCTGAGAGGGCCTGGCTTACAGACACCGATGAGTTTCTACAGTTGAAGGAGGATTTAAGCCTGGTGCATCAGCTTTACAACACTGAGATACATCCTGAAGGAGCTCTTTGACTGAAGCCTCATTAAATGAAAGCCTTCTTCGAAGCTCCATACAGTCTTACAAAACAGTACATTTCTTTCACTGCAATTTCAAAAGAATATTCCATTCCCTGGGACAAAATAATTGTAAGACCTGTCACAATATGATCTTCTGACTCATCCCACTAGCTTATTATAATAGTTAAAAAGAAATGATGATCAATATCTCCTGTCAGCCAAAAGGATGGGGCAACATTTCTATTACTGAAAACAGCTGTTGTATCATGTTGTGTCCTCTTCCTTATTTATTTATTTATTTATTTATTTATTTATTTATTTATTTATTTATTTATTTATTTCCCACCTTTATCATTTTTACAAATAATTCAAAATGGTGAACATATCCAACCCACCTTCTTCCTCCTATTTTCTCCACAACAACAATCCTGTGAGGTGAGTTGGGCTGAGAGAGAGTGACTAGTCCAAGTAAAAAGATTATCACTTCAGAAATAAATGCTATATAGTGCTGTTTATGCATCATAGTGTATGATGCGTGCAACTATGAGAACCCAACTACCTCAAAAGATGGAAAAATGATGCTTACAAGTATGAAAGCCATCTGTGTTTTGAAAGAAAAATCTAAACCCATTTTAACTTGTATTTCATATTCTTGACAAAAAGCAGAAAATATATCCTCTGTATTGGTTATAAGAATACCGTGGAAGCTTCAGTAGTTAAATATTTCCTATATTTTCATGAGAACAGCAAGTTTCTGCTTCCCCTTTTAAATCAGCCTCAGCCTTATTCCAATACGACGTGTATTTCTGTAATGCTATTATGGATATTTTAACAGAAGTATCCTAAGTAAGAAGGCACAACATGAATGTCAAGATGCTGAAGTGAAGAAGACTGCCCTGGCCAAATGCAGTTTTATCTGCTGGGCAGTATAGTTGTTTTTCCTCCTTCCCACCAACCTCCTGAAGAAAATATTTTTCTGTTGATTGGATGTTTGTAGACAAGAGGGTGTTTTTCACCACTGAAAGGACTGTAAGAGGAAGGAGAAATTGACTTCTAAGGATGCTCATTGTCAGAATTTAATTTCTTCCCCTCCCAGTGACCCTTTTTGGCAAAAAAGGAAAGGCTCAACCTCTTTTTTTTTTGCTTCTGAAAAGTCCCCAAGGGTAGGATTTGTATTTCAAAGACATGCAAACATCCTCAAAGCCCAATGCCCTTCTCCACAAAGGTTCTTTCTGAAGTTAAGGACAACCAGTGAGAGGATCACTGATGCTGGTGAGCTTTAACTCTTCTCAAATTTCCACAAGTATCTAATTGTCTCTAGCTATTCTTGAAGTGTGGAAGACATTCCATTTCACATCAGGGGAGATAATCTAGTCCTTTTGTAAATTAGACAGCCACCGAGATCTAGTTGGGGTTCATGAATGTGGAAGCATAATTTTAACTGGATGAAGAACCATGCATGTAGCTAGCTAGTTTCCGAAAGATTAAATTCACATAGGCCTTTTAGAAAATTGAGATCATTTTGTTGCTGAACTACTTACAGGGAAATGGCCATGGGTGGGCAAAGACCTAGGCTGCATTCTTCTGCTCACTGACAAACAACTGATATGCGTGTTTGGCAACACCCCCCCCCCCAGTAACTTCACTGTACATTACTGATGCCCACTAGAACAGGTAAGTAAAGTAATACCTGTTTATTTTTCCAGCTCATTAATTGGAGGTCAATAAAACCATCATGATTAAAAATCTTTTAGCAACAACTTAATCTAAACTAATTGATGCTCTATAGAAATACTTAAGATTTATGATTTGGTTTTAATTTAATAAACTTAGACTGTACATTTTTTTGTAAACAAATTAACGATCTATTATATGACATACAGGGTTGACAAGGCAGAAATACAATAAATTCAAGTAATATAGTCCCTCTTCCCAGGAAACTCAGTAACAAAATATCAGTGTTTTGAAATTATACATTCCAAGGCATGTATTTTTAGGTGAGTGAAGAAAGGGAGAGGACAGTCTTATACTGAATATATTAAATTCAATTGGAGATTTCAATTTTAGTGTACCGGGAACTGGATGGAATTATCTAAACACTGCTTATTTCAACTGGTAGTTGAAGCAACGCAGCTGCAAGTACTGAAGATTAGTTTTAAACATTAGAAGAAGGCACAGCATGAACAGTACCCCAGGTCAAATGTGGCATACAAGTCACAATGCTTAGCTTTACACATTAAACCAAAACCATACAAGTCATATGGCTTAATGTGATTCCTTTGGCAGCGATTGGTCTTGGATCAATTTTGCAAGGGTTTTAATCTATATGTGTGCTAGCACAGTGCAGGCACATTAGCACTCAGTGAGATCAGCAGCTTCCATGAAATGGGGACCAAATAGTTAAACAATATAAATACATAGCACTTACTGTAAAAGTACTTTTCAAGAACTTGACCTAACTAATCATACACATTTTCAGCAACTTAAAAATGGTTCACGCATACTGCCTTAAAACAATCCATTCATTTAACTCCTTCACCAGACTTAAGGTTCTGTTAAAAAAGACATAAAGAATG